GGATTACGTCGTGGAAATTGTTTAAGCCATGTTTCCGAAGTAACAAAGCCGATGGATGGCCTATAAGATTGCTAAACAAGGGGGAGGGTGCATCCGACCTCCTCGGCTGTAATTGGTCCAGCCCAGAGTCGATCGTGACCAATTGGCCAATCCAACACCTTTCATTCATAAAGTTTCCAAAAAAAAAAAAAAATCGATCGGCCCATAAAAACAAAAAATCGCCAGCGGCCCACCGGGCAAATGCCCGGTATGCCCGATGGTCAGTCCAGCTATGGCGTGTAGTGTTTTTTTTTCTTAGATGCGATTCTAGTTTTACAAACATCCCAATTAAGCTATCCACTTTTTCTTCGGCAGGTCCTCATACATTGGAAACTGCTGTGTAATCATAATTTTACTCACTGTATCACAGTATAACAAGGAGCGGATGGACAGAGGTCAGTGTTACTCCTAGGAGATATTAATGGCTGTATTTCATCAGATGAAAAATTCACATTTGGCGCTTTTGACACTTTTAATCTCTCTAATTAAATCAGTCTCCAGCTCCGTTTCACATGTATTCAGAGGAACTTGATCACGCCCACACTGCTAAACCACTGGTTTAGTTAGTAAACTCTAATGCGCCCTTTGCTTTTGTTTGATTGTAGTTTTTATATATTTTTATTTTTATGGAAGCGCACATGTATTTTATGGAGCGCCTGCTCCCATCAGCTCTTCTTCGTGCACCAATAGAAAAAATAAACCCTCAAACGAATCCGGAAACTCAGTCAGAGGGACCGCTTCACTTCCTCCACTGAGCATGTTCATCACTGCGCATGCGCGGCTGCAACACAGGACGTAAACAAGTAGCGGGAGTTCCGCCGTCCGCGTGCATCCGCCAAAGAGCGCAAGTCGGCGAGAGTCAAAGTTTAACGGCTGTAAGAGCGCGAGAAAGATCGATCACACCCGATCAGGTAGGAGCACATCCGTTTTCTTTAAGGTTAGCGTTAAATTGAACTCGCCCTGACCCCTGACCCTCAGTGTGACCGGTTCGGTTTTTACAGAAGCCGTTCGGTAAGAGGTCTTTAGTGACGTCACATATGAGCGCCAGGTTGGTTTCAGCGGCGACTTCGCGATGGAGCTCGAGCTCGTCTTTTGTCTGAGGCGGGTTGACCCCTGACCCCCCTGTAGTCTCCTCTCAGGTAGACGGCAGCTGATCAGCTGGTCGTGTTCCACGCGCTGCTGGGATCGTTACTCCCGATCGATCCTTTGGTCACACCGGAGCGACCCCGGACACGGAGTTTAGGGAGAACGCTAGCTACCGACCGATACCACGGCCGAGTTTGACCCGTGAGCCGATTACACGCCACAGCGCAGCAGTTTGTGTGACTGTTGTAAACATGTACACGCGTGTCACAGCTGTGAGCACAGGCCCACTATGAGCTCTGCAGTGACAGATCACGTGTTTGTGCTCTGTGACGTCATCTGACCTTACCTGCTCCTCCTTTGAACTGAAGGCCACTCTTCTCTTTTTCTCACTGGGCTCGAGGAAAAGAGGTTAGGGGAGAGGAGGAAGAGGAGGAATCCTGAGGGGCTCCTGGTTGTGGGAGGAGTTACCTACAGGTTGGGTGCTGAGGGAACCAGCTGAGAAGTTGTTTCCTCTGCACAGGAGACGAGGAGGCTTGATGGAGAAATGAGGAAGTATAGGAAAGCATTGAGAGGAAGAATAGAGGGAGTTGCAGAGGTGAAGGAGCACAGTGAGGAGTACAGGGAGCTGTGTGGTTAATCTCAGAGGATGTGATGTCACAGCTGAATAAAAGCACCCTGAATCCTGGTGGTTGTGAATCGACGACACACGTCACAGATTGAACCGCTCACACTGAGCTTTGGTGTGGACGACGTGCCAAAGGCTGTAACTGCTGCAGTGTGCACGCTGTCGCTCTGTGGTGCATTATGGGCAATCTCGTCTCTCACTGAGCACGCTCCTCTGACTGGCCAGCTCGGACAACATCCGCCTGTCTGACGCCACCTTAAACCAGCTGAAGGGGGTCTAGATGTGTCCCGACCGTCGGTTGGAGCTGATTGAGTCTTTCTGGGGGGAAGCCACAGGTGGGGGCCGTCCTCGGGGGCTCCGTGGTGGTGATACGTGAAGCTCTGACTCGTTATCGGGTTTTCTGCTGATCGATAATGTTTCTGATCGCTGTTACGGCCTGACGACGTGCGCACACCCTCTCTAATGAAGTCACGTGATCTGAAGTCAGACAGACGAGCTTCTCTTGCTGGGGTGAGATCATATCACAGGTGAAGCACACCTGGTCGCTGTTTGAGCTTGGACATTTTGATAATGAACGATGGCTGGGGCGCTCCGAGACGCACAGGTGATGTTGGAGCCGTTTCACAATGTGTTGTCTGAGCGGCAGGAGAATCCTGCAGCGGCTTCCTGCGCCCTGGCAGCGGGCGTAAAGTGGCCGGGTACACCTCCCCCACTGAAGCCTCGCCTGTGCCAGGCGGTCAGCTCACACCTGTGTCCTGTTTATTTGTCCTGATTGGCACACCTGACCTTCCTCTTCTTCTTCTGCAGCTTCTGTCACAAACTGACCATCGCCTCCTCCTGTTGCTCCTCCCATCATGACACCTCCATCATCACGTGAGAAGAAGAGGAGGCGCGCAGAAGGCGAGGAGTCTCCTGCTCCCATCGACATAGACACTCCCGAGAGAGGAAAGGAGGAGGAGGAGGAACTGTTCAGTCCTCCCGCTGAAGAGGAACGGGTGAGCAGGAAGGAGAAGAAAAAGAAGAAAAAGAAGAGACGAGAGGAGGAGGAGGTGTTCAGCTCGCCTGCTGAAGATGGACAGGTGAACGGGGAGGAGGAGGAAACCAGCGAGGGGAAGAAGAAGAAGAAGAAGAAGAAAAAGAAGAGAAGAGCGGAGGAAGAGGAGGTGTTCAGTTCTGCTTTTTCTTCTGCTGAAGATGCACATGTGAACAGGGAGAAGGAGGAGAAAGAGCAGAGGGGGGACAAACAGGAGGAAACCAGCGAGGCAGAGAGGAAGAAAGAGGAGGGTCCCTCTTCTCCTGGTCTGGGTGAACAGCTGAGCAGGAAGGAGAAGAAGAAAAAGAGAAAAAAGAGGAGAGAAGAGGAAGAACTGTTGGCTCCTCCCTCACCTCCTACTGGGGATGAAAAGGTGAGCAGGGAGAAGAAAAGGAAGAAAAGACAGGAGGACAAAGAGCCAGAGAAGAGAAAGGAGGAGAAGAGCAGCGAGGGAGGAAAGAAGAAAAAGAAAGAGGAAATGACATCACAGGAAAGGGAGCCTTACAGCGAGACTAAACAAAAGAAGAAGGCGGCGTGCATGGCGAGCGTAGCCACAGCAACAGCACATGTGTCGGTTCAAACAGTCAAGAACAGGGTGAAGGAGGAGAGGAAAAGTGTGCAGGAAGTGACATCATGCAATGGAGAGAAGGCGACGAAGAATGTAAATCCTGCAAAGAGGCAGAGAGGTGCAGCGGGGGGTCACGGGGAGGAGGAGAAGAAGAAGAGGAGAACGGAGGCGGCAGCTGATCCTGAAGAGTGAGTTCATAAAGTTCATGTTAACGAGATGTCAGTGAACACAACACAGAAACATCAGAGACTGAACAAAGCTGGGGTGACGCGCACCCTAACACCTGCGGCTCCGCACGCTCAGACAGGAAGCAGCGTGGACTCCTCATGCGGCGTCCATCTTTGTTGTCTCTGCTTTTATGATGAAATGATGATGTCAGCTGATGATGTCATGTGCTTCAGGTTTGACCATAAGTTGTTGGAGGAACTTCAGGAATTTGTTCCTCATGTGAAGAAGAAATCTGC